GAGACAGCGTGAGCAGGGGAGGGTCAGAGAGAGAGGGAGTCACAGACTCTGAAACAGGCTCCAGGCTCTCAGGGGGCAGTCAGCACAGAGCCCGACGCGGGGCCCGAACCCACGAACCGTGAGATCATGACCCAAGCGAAAGTCGGACGCTTAACCGACTAAGCCACCCAGGCGCCCCTCTTGATTCTGTTCTTAACAGCTCTCTGGGAACCCTTAAATAGTGACACAACCTAGGGACTGAGGATGGGGGAGGACTACGCAAGAAAGGAAAGATAGGTTGCTGCCCCTTTAAGGGTGGAAAGGGCTAGAGAAAGGGAAACAGAGAAATGCAACAGGAGACCCAAGAATCTAGTGTAGGCTGTTTATTTGGAAGGTGAGAGAAACACTGAAGAAACGGGAAGTGAAACAGGGTGGTTGTCAAGCAAGTAGCCACTGTGAGTAACTAGAACTTCATTTAGCAGACCTGGTCTAGAAGCCAGGATTCTTTCCAGTTCTTCCCCCAGGGGTATAGACACAGTTGTTTCATTTTGAGCTGTACCAAGACCACCTGTGGACTGAGAGGAACACATTTGTTCCACCCCGGGGGAGACATTTCCAGATGGGACTTCACATCTTTTGTACGGTGACTGCTGTTCATCTCCCCGGAATCCTTCAACGTAAAGGAAACTTTCTAGTGTTTCCCAAACAATCCTCAAACTTTCAGCATCCGGTGACGTCTGTGAAGTGCCTGCACGTGAGTGTGATATACCCTCGTGTCTTCAGTGATCATAGAAACCCACACTCTAATCTTCAGCAACTTGTTAAAAACTTTAGCCTAATTCTTTACAACAGCTTATACGAGTTGAGTATTTACCCCAAGTAAGTAAGCCTTGTAGCTTTCCTCAGATTTTAGCTTAGCTCTCTGCCCTTGACCTCAGATCTCTGAGGGGTATAAGAGAAGTTATGCATTGGCAGATCATGCAGATTGACTCTGTTGTAAAAGTAGGAGAGACGTACTTTCTAGCTTTCTACCCACTAAGTGGAACTGAGTCTTCCTCTCCAGTGGCTGCCTGTCCCAGCGATCCAGCCTTACAGCCTTTACAGGTTGAAGTGTTTGCTCAACTGCGGTGGAATAAACATCAGCCACACTTTAGAGTCAAGGCAAGGGGGAGAGGAAAGCATTAAATCCTCCAATACTTATTTGTTTCTATTTCAGCTCTTGTAAATCTGCAAAGTTAGCTAGCTAAGGTTGAGCGCTTAAGACGGTCCATTTAGATAGTGTGAGGACTCCCGTGATAAGTTCTGACACATCTCCCAGTTACAAATGTAAGGAGTGAGTGGGCTGGTGGTTTCTGTGGTGAAGATACTGAGACAGCAGTGCAAGAGGTGTCTGGACCATGATGTCGTAACGTAGTGACCAAATTTCTTAGCTGATTTCATTAGCTCCTGCGGAGGAGCTGATGATTCACCAGGTTTGTGCCTCCAACAACCATGCTCAGCACCACAGTCTCCTACCTGGAGTCTGACACACCCAAACCTGCCGGATTCCTGTGCATTACCCCGTAGTGTAATAGGTGAGAGGAGAGTACACCAATCGCTATTGCTTCTGAATCTGTGATACTGTCCCTAGTGTGTGTTGTTTCAGAAAAAAATGGCATAGATGCATTGCTTGACCATTGGCTCTCATACGTGTGTTCAGCAGGTTTTATACAGTGAGCAACCAGGAGATCTCAAGTTCTGGCCCTAGAACCATGGCTAGTATCACATGAAGGCTCCTACAAAGAGATCAGCGTAAAGACTGGACAAAATGTATAAAAGGAACCGACAAGACGAAACTTGAGGGACTCCAACTGATCAAGGCTTACTGCTTCTATCGTGCCTGCCTGCCAGGAAAACAGAAAACAAAAACAACCTATTGATAGAAAAATATTCATAATCTCTGCTATTCTTACATACAATGCCTGGTATTTCATAAAAAAATTATGAGGCCTCCTAAAAAGAAGAATTGGCAAAACACCAATTGACAAGCCAAATTAATAAAAAATGAACTTTTTATGGGGATGCGCACTGGGTGTTAAAGATAAGCCAATCTGACAATAAATTATATTTAAAAAAAAGAAAAAATGAGCTGCAAATGCTTTCAGGTAGTGATGCTATTGGACAGGAAATTTAAAAGAAAAATGGCTACTGTGTTTAGGTGAAGACAAAAAAATGTATAAAGAATTTCAACAGCATGGAAATAATTCAAGGGTCAAATGAAAACTCTAGAACAGAAATAAATAATAACAAATGCAGAATGATTTAATTAAGGATCAAGTGAGGGCAAGATGGAATCCAAGACTTAAAAGTATTTAAAGAGGTGGGACGCCTGGGTGGCTTAGTCGGTTAAGGGTCCGACTTTCACTTCTCGCGGTTCGTGCGTTCAAGCCCCGCATTGGGCTCTGTGCTGACTGCCAGCTCAGAGCCTGGAGCCTATTTCAGAGTCTGTGTCTCCCTCTCTCTCTGACCCTCCCCTGCTCATGCTGTCTCTCTCCCTCTCTCCTAAAAAAAAAAAAGTATTTAAAGAGGAAGGATCAGCCATTGGCTTTGAATATTTCTAAGAAAGGTGAGTTAAGGAACTGCTATGGCCTTTTCATCTGTGATACTGTTCCCTTGGAAATAACTGTGCCAGATAACCTACTTACTTGTAAGTTAATATATGAGAAATATTCAGTGGATATAGTGAAAGTATAATCTTAATTATGAGCTTAATGGGATCCATTTTGCTGTTGTGTTAAATGAAAAAGAATTCACATTGGAATTGATTGATATTCTAGCTAAAGGGACGGTGTGTGTGTGTGTGTGTGTGTGTGTGTGTGTGTGTGATATTTGAGAAACAAGAGAAAATTGAGCTTAAAAAATTGGGACACTGATTCAGAGATTTGTCTTCCTTACAGTCAGTGCATCAGAAGGCACTGGTCATGGCTTGACAGATCAATTTCTAAGTCTCTGTGGCATTTCTTATAACGTGCCTCCTGACAAGGAAGTTAATTTCAAGGCAAAGGAAAGGAGCCATGAATAACAACTCATTGGACTTAATACATGGCCCACTACTTGAAAGCAGGTAGCGTGGTGTAATGGAGAAATGACTGAAATGCTTTTGAAGACTTAATAAGCTGGGAGATGATCATTTAGGGGGTTAGGGTGCCCCGTTGTAACCTACTATTCGTGCTTGAAAACACCTGTCAGACTACGGTCAGCTCCCTATATTCACGATGTGTTGTCTGGGAACTGATGCAGAAGCAGAAATAGCTGTTCTGTGTATTATACGCTAGAGCTCATGTGAGGGATTTTTGCAGCTGGTTTGCCAGACAAACTCTTGGTGTGTTTGGGGGTACCAGAGCCAAAGGATGTTTTGCTTCTACCAGGAACACAATCACAGTTCTGTTACATTGGAAACTGAGACAGGTCACTCTTGGCAATAGTGTTTCCCATATCCCTAAAGCAACAGGTAGTAATGTTCACAGTGACATATTCAAATATCAAATACAGCTCAAGGGACAATTTGCAAGATGTGGATAGGCTCAAGGGAAAATAATAATAGTAACAATTTTATATATTCCATAATGATAAATACATTATAATATACTTATATATTATGTAATATATTCATATTTTTATGTTATTATTATTATATTCTTTTGAGCCTACCCACATCTTACAAATTGTCCTTTTATTTTATCATCTTTAAACTCTCCTTTTATTTTTTATTTAAAAAATTTTTTATTTTTTACCACTTATTCAGGGTATTTTAGAGAGACAGAGTGCAAGTGGGGGAGGGGCAGAGAGAGCAGGAGACACAGAATCCGAAGCAGGCTCCAGGCTCTGAGCTGTCAGCACAGAGCCCAACACAGGGCTCGAACCCATGAATGGTGAGATCATGACCTGAGCCGAAGTCGGACGGCCAACCGACCGAGCCACCCAGGCGCCCCCAAACTCCCCTTTTAATGTAGATACTTGTTTCTTCTCTTTGGATCCTGACTGTGGGTCTCTTCTTTTGAACGTGAGTATGTCACTATCACTGTGATCTCCCAACTCTTCAATTAAGTGACTGAAAACATCAGATTTATTAATAAGAATGAGGAAAAAACTTATCTCAAAACAATCATTCCCCGACCCCCGCCTTCACCTTGTACACCTGATCAGTGAACCAATAGACCCCTGCCTCCAAAGAAGGCTGTGTCAACCTTATAAGATCCTGACTTCTGGGACCCTGGAGACATTTACTTCTCCTTTTTAGTAGACCTTAGCTGAAAGCTGGCTCAGAAAAGATTGAGCCTGGCTGCAGAGAGATGGCAAGACTGACCTCAGCTTTCCCCGACTACAGAGAAATTTCTGGGGCCTTTGGTATACACACCTTGGCTGTTACATGTGTGCTCCCTGGTGTGATTCCTGGGCGGCAGATATCTTGATATATTCCCTGCTACTAGAGAAACTAGACGTCCCCTAGCTCCTCTTAGGCTAACCTATCCCTATGTCATAGAGTTGCAGAGTGGGGCTCATCCTCTGCATCTCCCTGGGAGCGCTCTGGGCACGTGTGATCTCCCCAAAGGGCAAATCCTCTGTATCAGGACCTTTGCCGGGACACAGAGAGAGAAAGTCTGTGTCAGGCCACTGCTGTAGAAGAGTGAGTGTTCAAGGATTGTGTCCTTTTGTTATTCTCTGCTGGGAGGTTTTTCTCAGATAAATGCTATGTTATAATCTGCACACATGTTGCTAGTGATCTGTTCCCCCTTGCACGACACTAAATAATATCCAACACAATTTTTAAAACTATGTTGGTAGTTGGCAGATATGGAGAAATGAGAAAAAGGAAGAGGTCAGCGGAAAAAAAAAAAAAAAGACTCTCACTCTTGCAACTGTGTCTGTACTCATCTGAGGCCCCTCATAGGCTGCAGCTCATTCGTAGATGCCCGGGATTGGTACAGTGAAAAGAGAAGTATGAGCTTATAAATGTAAGTTCTGGTTTACAAACAGAAGTTTAAACCTGCAACTCTTGTTTAACATTCACCTCTGTTAGTTCATCTTCATCTTTTAAAAAAATAATAATTTGGGGAGATTTCTTTTCATAGCCCCGATGTCTGAAGAAGTTACTTATGCAGATCTAAATTTTCAGGACTCCAGTAAAAGGAAAAGTATTCAGGAGTCTGGCACAGTTGGGATAAAAGGTAAGACTCTGAGCTTTGGAAACATTGTAGGTTGATAGAAGTGGAAGGGTAGAAGGCCTTAGACATTAATGAATTGACCATGACCCTGTTGGTGTGAATCTTATTTATTTTAATGTTTATTTATTTATTTATTCTGAGAGAGAAAGAGAGAGCATGAATGGAGCAGAGGTGGAGAGAGAGGGGGAGAGATAATCGCAAGCAAGCTTTGAACTGTCAGCGCAGAGCCCAAATCAGGGTTCAAACTCATGAACTGTGAGGTCATGACTGGATCCGAGATCATGAGTCGGACGCTAAACCGACTGAGCCACCCACATGCCCCTCCTTGAATTTTAAATTCAGCCTCTTATTTTTACCAAAGCTACTAACATACAAAATGATTAGAAAGGGTTTTTCTTAATGATGCTGATTAGTGCATCTAGCACTCAATCTTTTACACACTTTCTATGTTTTAATATCATACTCAAGATAATTGGAATAGAATAATATTTTGATTTTACTGAATTGTGAAACTTTTTTTCCCTCAGTGAAATGAAGCCTTAGAACAAGAAGCACATGCTGTCCAGAAAAGTCATGGTTTTGTATATTCTTTGTGTTTATAAGAAAATGCAAGTCACAAATACAATAATAAAAGTGGCTCTCATTTCCCCGCTATGTGACAAGCACTATTCTATTTGTCTTATGACCTGGTCATGGGCATCTCCATTTTTTCAGCAGAGATACAAGGCTTCAGTGAGTACATGGTGTGCTTGAGTGTCACATGTATATCTGTGGATAGAAAAAGACACTCTACTTCATTGACCTGCCAGAATTATGGAGGAGAGGGTTTGGAAATGATCAGATGTGAATAAATCATTTGATCTTTTGAAGCTCTATGCTCTCCTCTATTAAATGGGATAACAATACCTGCTCAATGATGAGTTTGCAGCCATCATGTAGCGTGTACTAATTGTGCCATTTGAAAAAGGCTAATATGTTTAATGATTATTTTGTAAGATTTAAATGAAAGATAGATAAAGATGAGAAATACACCAATAAAATGTTTTCTTTTTTTAAATATTTATTTATTTTTGAGAGATAGAGGAGGGGGGAGGGACAGAGAGAGAGAGAGAGAGAGAATCCCAAGCAGGCTCTATGCTGCCAGCACAGAGCCTGACAAGGGGCTTGAACCCACAAACTCCCAGTTCATGACCTGAGCCCCAACCAAGAGCCAGAAGCTTAGGCAACTGAGCCACCCAGGTGTCCCCCCAAAATGTTTTCTTCTTGGCCAGGATTTCACTCAGCAGTTTTTTGTTTATTCATTTAACCTAGTATGTATTTCTTTAATGTTTAAAGTTGACCACACTTTTCAGTTCCAGGTGCCATAAATGAAAACAAGAGGCTTTCAAAAAGAATGACAATAATAGATAAGGTCAAGAATATTTTTCAGAATGGCATATAAGAAGGAATTGAAGTTCTTTTTTGCTCCAATTTGACCATTACCATCTAAGAAATCAAATTTTGTTCAGAGAAGGCTGCTAAGCAGTCCTCTGTAGCAATATGTAACTAAGTAGGAGCATGTGAACTTTGAACCAAAAGGTGAGGAAGTTTACTTTAACATTAACTACAACTGTAGATAAAGAGTGAGATAATAGTATTCAGATCTACAAATTGAAATTTTATGAATGAACATATTACTATACTGTTAGATATATTATTATTATTTATATATATTAAAATCAGATTATATGACTTCTCTTTAGCTTACTATTAGGTCTGTTCATTCTTTTTTTTTTTTTTTTTTAGGAGAGAGAGAGAGAGAGAGCGTGAGCAGGGGAGGGTCAGAGAGGGAGGGAGTCACAGACTGAAACAGGCTCCAGACTCTGAGCTGGCAGTCAGCACATAGCCCGACGCGGGGCTCAAACCCACGAAACGCAAGATCATGACATAAGCGAAAGTCGGACGCTTAACTGACTAAGCCACCCAGGCGCCCCAAAGTCTATTCATTCTTTGAATGATTAGATAATAGCTCAGGGAATATTATGGCTGAGTGGGAATACAGCTCTTTTTCATAAATCTTTAATTAATTTAGTTTCCCTAGTGTGAGATATATTTTGGACTTAATTTTCTCATTGTGTATATGGCATTTAAAAGACTGCTTTGGTTAAACTATTGAGCAGAACTTAATAGTTTGATACTTTATTTTAAAGTGATCCTTATAGTTGTATGATGGGGTTAATGTTTCCAGAATCTAACTCATTATTTAGAAAAGGGAAAAAAAAAGTTTATTGGAGGCTACAAAGTACTCACATACGTATACACACCAAAATGCCTATATGTTAAGCCTAGATATTGGAGAGGAAGGAAGGAAGGAAGAAAGAGAGGGAGGGAGGGAGGAAGGAAAGAGAGAAAGAAAAGAAAGAAAGAAAGAAAGAAAGAAAGAAAGAAAGAAAGAAAGAAAGAAAGAAAGAAAGAAAGAAAGAAAAGAGGGTGAGGAATGAAGGAAGGAGGAAGGAAGGAAAAGAAAAGAAAAGAAAAAAGAAAAAAAGAAGAGAAGAAAAGAAAAGGGAAGGGAAGGGAAAGAAGTGTGTGTGTGTGCGTGTGCGTGTGTGTGTGTGTGTGTGTGTGTGTGTGTGTGCCTGAAAGACAGAAACAGACACAGAGACAGAGAAACCTTTAAAAAATGTCATTTGATTTTCTACCAAGTAAGCATATATCACTCCCAAATTTCTATTTCTTTTGGAGGTTAAGTTACATGAAAAGACACATAGAGGACTAAAGGGAGAAAAGAAGTGAAGAAATATTGGAAAATATAACATTCTGTACCTGAATATACAAATATAACAAACTGTACCTGAAAGTTTTTTATTTTTAAAAAAACTTCCCCTAAAATTTTCCTTTCCCCAATCATCTTCATCTCATTAAATATAAATATAAATACAAATACATATTTACTACAATCACCAAGTGTTTCCTATATGCCACCCCTGTTCTAATTGGGTTGCCAACAACTCTATATACTATGTCTAGTATATAGAAGGTATTGAAAGATAACTTATGACTAAATGAATACATAACTAGATGAGAACATAATTCTTATGAAAGATAGCACTTGAAATCATATTTCTAACCTTAGATAAGATCTTGACTCTATAGTTCTTCCATTATTAACTATTGTTCAAAGTCTAAAAATTTGTTTTACATTATACTTTCAACTCTCTCTATACTTCACAACGTTACATCACCAACTAAGAGATGTAGGACACAAAGACAGATCAGAAATAAAATAAGGTTATCATGTTATTCCTGAATTATATTTTTTGAAATATCTAGCTTACATATATACCAATGATGATAATTTAAACCCAGGTAGTGATTTAACAATGATTAATTTATAAGATGAAGTTTGTCATTCCTGTTTTTTTTAAAATAGGGAAATGATTTATTTGAGGGTTTTCTGTGTTTAGCAAAAGAGAAACACCCCACAGAAGTTTGTTGCTAAAATTATGAAGAAATTTGGATGTAGAAATGGTGCAGATCTGGCTTGAGGTTTGGCTGAAGGGAGGATACACAAAGACATTACAAGACAGAGCCTATCAATCATGTCCCACAGCCAAACTCTCAGGATCTGGGGAGGAAGAACTTAAAAAACAAGTTATTGACTTTGACAATCACAACTGTCCACCCAAGACAGGATTGCCCTGATTGACCTCTCTATTAGTCACCCAGCTACCCATTTCCCCCCAAATTTGTACAGAAAAGATATATATTATATATTGGTTTTCTCAAGCCTCCTTTTTAAATCCCATTTTTGCCTCTTTGTTTCTTGAATCCGCCTACCAATTAATAGCTTCTCCTGTGAGAACTAGTATCCATGCAAAACAACTAACAAAATGTTATTCTTTTAAAAAGTATTTTTAAATGTCCTTGAGTATTTAGCAGAACATATTCTTTTACCAGAGACATGTAAGGCAAGAAATAAAGGCAAAATGAATGAATGAATGAATGAATGAATGAATGATTCAAATGAAGATGTAAACCATTTCTGGCCTGTTCCTAATTTTGCTTTCTACAGCACCTCCTGCTACTTCCCATTTATGGCATCAGAGAGCCTTGGCTTTGACTCTTCTATGCCTTCTGCTGCTGATTGGACTAGGAGTCTTAGGAAGCATATGTACGTATCACCTGTGTTTTGACTGAAAGGGAAACCACCTCGAAATACGTGAGTTTTACAAGACAGTATAGTCTTGAATTGAAGTTTAGAATGATGATAGGTGATATACCTGCAAAAAGTATTGATAATCAGGTACTTAAATATGGTAGTCTGTTTCCTTTACTTCTATGAAGAGACTTCCTAGATCTCTAACGTGCATAATACTGGTTCAGCAGAAAGAAGGTCATGGTTGGGTTGAGAGATTAAAATATTTTGTCATTTCTTTTTTTTTAAATCTCAAGTTTACATAACTTTGAAGAAAGAAATGAGAAAAATGAATAAACTACAAAATTTCAAAGAAGAACTTCAGAGAAATCTTTCACTACAACTGATGCAGAACATGAATAGTTCCAAGGTGATCAGGGACCTATCTTTCACTCTGCAAGAAATAGCCACCAAATTATGTCAAGAGCTCTACAAAAGACAACCAGGTAATCTTATATTCCTCTGTAAGCTCTTTATTAGAACAAAACCTTGGAGTCACTGAGAATTATTGCAATAATAGCTAGCAGCCTTTCCCTCGGATGCCATTATTTGGGGAAAGGAATTGAATGTAGGTGACAGAGGACTCACTGTGCAATTAGAAGAAAAGTAAGAAAAGTAATAATAACTGTAGGCCCCCAAATTATCAGAGGATGACAATTAATAAAACGTTAGACAGAATACAGTTTCTCTAATCTGAGATTTACTATTATTTTTGGCACTGAGGTCAATAGAAAATAAGGAGGAGATGACAGGTCACCTCTTTATACCCATTTTAAAGGATAAGAAGAGAAAGTAGGTCACCACTTTATCGGTGACCTTGTTTCTAAGTTTAGGTCAATGTTTGATGCGAGTCGACAGAAAAGAGGTAGTTAGGTCTTGCTGTTGGGAGGAATTAGTCTTTCAGTATTTCTAAAGTTTCTATAGCTATTATATCTAAACCATGTTCTTTGTGCTTTTGAGAACTCTCTCAAATATTTAATGCCAGACAACCAGAAACACCATAGCTAGTGATGGGTTGGTGTAGGTTTATGGGGTTGGTTGTTACCACACAATGTTTTCATGATTAGCTTTTATTGCCATGTAGTAATTTAAAAAAACGACAAAGAGAGAAAAGTAAATTCATTAATCATTATTCAGGACTCCCGAGATAAGAAAATACACTAGAACACCCGGGACATTTAATTTGAAATGTATTGTTCAGATTATGTTCTGGACATATAGCGGTGGTTTACAGGGACCTGGAACACAAGATTCGTTTCCTTCACCTTTCATGTAAAAGCAAGACAGACAAGTAAGTTTGGTATATTCAGCATAAAGGATTGTTGGAATAATGAGAATAATGAAGATTATTAACACAAACCAAATAAAAGTATGTTCTTTCACAGAGCACCAATGTAAACCTTGTCCAAGGACATGGATATGGCATGAAGACAACTGTTACCTAGTAATTAAGAACTATGTATCATGGCAAGAGAGTGCCATGTTCTGCTCTGCTCAAAATGCCAGCCTGTTGATGATTAAGAACAAACGTGTATTGGTAAGATGCCCCGTATCTCTGCATGTGAGGAAGGAAGTCACATTTCCTATCATAGTATAGAGAGGACGGACTGAGGCATGCTGGAGAAAATTTGTACTGATCCATACATGATTCTGGCTTGTTTTAGTCGGGGTATGAGGTGACTGAGACTGAGTGCCTTTATTGCAGGGTAGTATCACTGAGGTTTCATCTCAAACTGTAGCTTAGGACCTTAATATCCACGGAATCTCAGAGGCTGGGCAGATGGGAAGATATGGGGTGCCCAGAATCTTTGGGGCTGTGAACATTTCTCAGAACACAATTTCTGAGAATTTATCTAAAAATTGAAGAGCTGGAAATCACTCTGGAGGGTTACCAATTCCATAAAATGTACACTGGAGAAGATGCTTGTTTCTACCATTTTGTATTTTTTTTTAACTAAGAGAAAAAGCCAACATATACTAGAATAAGGAGATAGGTTCGATAAAATATGTATAAAAAAGTAGGAGTTAAGATGGGATGTCAAAGGTAAGTGCCAAACAAATATATTTTACTGAGTCCCTAGGTTCCAGGAAAAGTGAGTTCTCTAGAAGATTTATGTATGTATTTATGTGTATTTATTTTCTTTTTCTCTAGTATCTAAGTGGTATCTCCATATTTTACTTATTCCTCAGCATTTATGTTCTCTCAGAGAGTATTCGCTTATTATTTAAGGAAAAAATTCATGTTCCCAAAAGTCTCAGCTTCCCTACTGTGAGAATCTTTGTCTGCCTTTATAGCAGTGGGAGAAATGAAACCATAGTCTCTTCCTCATCTCATTCTTCTCAATTGATCCGCTTATAGTTATTTACTAAAAAAAATCTCTGGAATATGAGGGAAAAAACCCTACTTTGTCTACAAAATTCTGGACTGGATCTAAATTCTAGTCTATAACCACTTCTCATCTGAGTTTGCTATGTTTTCCCCTTACTTTTTCTGTTTCTCTTAACTTGCATTTTGGTGATTAACCACCTCCTTTGCCCCTAGACTATTGCTCTATATTTGAATCTTGAACATTGTGAACTTCACGGACCCTAAGTTAAAGTAAGGCGTGGATGGACTGGTAGCTACTTTTCCATGTGAAGCAGTAACTGATATATAAATGTTGGAGGAGGGGCGCCTGAGTGGCTCAGTCGGTTAAGCATTTGACTTCAGCTCAGGTCATGATCTCACTGTTCATGGATTCGAGCCCCGCATCAGGCTCTGTGTGGACAGCTAGTTCAGAGCCTGGAGCCTGCTTCAGATTCTGTGTCTCTCTCTCTCTTTGACCCTCCCCTGCTCATGCTATCTCTCTCTCTCTCTCAAAAATAAATAAAATATTTAAAAAAATAAATGTTGGAGGAAATCTTATAGTAAGAAACACTTTGTTTCATTTTTCTCTGACATCAAAAAGTAGTAGTATAATGTCAAAAAATGTTACCTTAAAACAGTAATTTGTGAGAAATTGTGTTGTGAAGTAATACACAGGAATGGGAGGCAATTATTATTATTTTTTTAACCTCTCTATTTCTTGTAGGAATTTGTAGAATCCAAGAGGTTCCGTAACTACTGGCTGGGATTATCTCCCAGAGAAGATTATGCAGATTACAAAACATTGGATGAGATAATGTCCTCCTCCGACTGGTAAGTCTTTATTCTTATTGAACTTTTATAGTTGGTTTGAGTAAAGGTGTTTCCTCCATCAGAGTTGTAGATTAAAACTAAAACAAGCTTTGGTTGTTAGAGGATATTATGCTAAGCAAAATTAGTCAGTCAGAGAAAGACAAATATCATATGACTTCACTCATATGAGGACTTTAAGATACAAAACAGACGAAAATAAGGGAAGGGAAGCAAAAATAATATAAAAACAGGAAGGGGGACAAAACATAAGAGACTCTTAATATGGAGAACAAACAGAGTTGCTGGAGGGGTTATGAGAGGGCAGATGGGCTAAATAGGAAAGGGACATTAAGGAATCTACTCCTAAAATCATTGTTATGCTATAAGCTAACTAACTTGGATGTAAATTAAACAAACAAACAAACAAACAACTAGCTTTGGTTGAAATTGTGCCATCAGGTTCTTTAATGCACTTAATGATGCAAAAAAGTTGACACAAATGTCCTCTCATTTTCCTGAAAGTCACTAAGGAACTTATTTATAGTATTAAACTAAAAGGAAGTTTCCGTGAGACTTTTATCTAAGAAAATTATAGAAGCCAACAAAATTCACTGTGCTGAAAATTTTACCAAGTGCTGAGATTCAAAGATGAAAGAAAGACTGATTCTTCCCTTCATTGCTTAACTATTGGTTATATGCACAGACTAATGAAACAATTCTATACATAAAAAAGATATCATGTGATAAATCCTTCAGTAAGAATACATAGAATAACCAAAGATAAATTTTAGCTCTGAAATTTCTGCTGTAATTCACATTTAAAATGGCAATTTTGAATGAAAAATTTAGAAATAGACTAGAACATGTCCAGTAATGAGAATAAAATGAACATGGGCATGGTATATTACATATATGGCTTATCTAAAATATTTTGTAATGTAATATATTAAGAAGTGTGCTTATAAATATACCATTATGAATAGATTAATATGTTATATTTGTTCTACCTATAATGAGGGGAGGGGAGACAGACAAGGCACACATAAAAATAATGTCAAAATTCCCATTTGTGTTTTATATCTTAAAATTAAGAAACAGGGGCACCTGGGTGGCTCAGTTGGTTGGGCGGCAGACTTCAGCTCAGGTCATGATCTCACCCTTCCTGGGTTCAAGCCCCACGTCGGGCTCTGTGCTGACAGCTAGCTCAGAGCCTGGAGCCTGTTTCGGATTCTGTGTCTCCCTTTATCTCTGACCTTCCCCTTCTTATGCCGTCTCTCTCTCTCAGAAATAAATAAAAATGTTAAAAATTTTTTTAAAAAATGGGTAACAGACAGGATTAAACTAAAGAAAGAAGCCAGAGCCTCAACCTGCTGGAAACTGCCACAAGCCCACATGTGTATACATATTTGTAGGCTGAGGACACATGAAACGGGTGTGAATACAGGGGTCCAGCCACACTAAGTCCCCAGAGTTTCCTGCACACTCCCCATAGGGGGCCAGAAGCAAATACAAGTATTGATTGATCAGTATTCCTTTTCCTTCAGATAGGAAGAGTACATGTAAGAATATGGGTCAGAAAGACAAAGACAGCTATGTCTTTGGGAGTTTGCAATGACACGACAGAGGGGAAGATACTATGTGTACAAACGGACAACAAAAGGATATGTATTTTAAAGATCTCATTTGACGGCAAGGGACTATTGGTAAAGGTAGTGCATATATCACGGGAGAGTACAGATGAAATCTTGTTTTGAAAAGGAAGAATTTCCATGTGTTTATTTGTTTCTATTGCTAATGGGGAGCTAATCTATGGTAGAATAGAAAACAGTATATATTTCTAATTATTAAGAAATAATACTAAAATATGGGGCACCTGGGTGGCTCAGTCGGTTAACTGACTTCGGTTTGGGTGGGTGGGTTCGAGCCCCGTGTCAGGCTCTGTGCTGACAGCTCAGAGCCTGGAGCCTGCTTCAGATTCTGTGTCTCCCTCTCTCTCTCTGTGCCTCCCCCGTTAGCGCTCTGTATCTGTCTCTCAAAAATGAATAAAAACATTAAAACTTTTTTAAAAGAAATAATACCAAAATAAAAAACCATATAATATATATATATGTATATAGAGTACATTATATATGTATATAATATATAATTATGTATGAATGTAATATATTTCCTTTTGTTTTTTCTTAATAATGTTATTTTGGGATTTGTTTCTGGAAAGGGGTGGTCATCACTGACATCTGTATTATGTCACTTCAAATAGGAAATTTCACTTTTGAAAATTTAATTGATGAACTTATTTGTTATTTATTGATGAGCTTACTTATTAATCATTAATAATGGTTTTTCATAATGGTTATTTCCTTCAAATAGGAAATTTCACTTTTGAAAATTTATTTATTTACTTATTTATTTATTTTATGTTTATTTATTTCTAGNAAAAAAAAAAGGGGGGGGGCTTAGTTATGGAATGAGTGAATCACAAGAATAGGAAGCAGAGGATAAGAAATAGTTGATGCTATTGTAATAGTAATGCTAGCCATGCTTGTGGGTAACAAAAGATAATGTATAAACTTGTCAAATCACTAAGTTGTGTACCTAAAACTCATGTAATATTATGTGTCAATTATAAAAAAATATTATTAATAGTTTATACAAGGATGTCCATTATGACTTCAACTTGCAATTTCTTAATGCATAATGTTGTTCACTATCTCTTATTATGCTTGTTTATTTTTTTAAAATATTTTTATTTATTTCTAGGAGAGAGAGAGAGAGACAGCGTGAGCAGGGGAGGGTCAGAGAGAGAGGGAGACACAGACTCTGAAACGGGCTCCAGGCTCTGAGCTGGCAGTCAGCACAGAGCCCGACGCGGGGCTCGAACCCACGAACTGCGAGATCATGACCCAAGCGAAAGTCGGACGCTTAACCGACTAAGCCACCCAGGCGCCCCTTATTATGCTTGTTTATTACTTGTATAACTTCTTTCATAATGTATCAGTTCTGATTTTTTTATTATTTTATTTTGAGTGTTGGGAGTTCCTTATATAATCTGGAGACCAGATATGTTATATCTATGAATGACATATATTTTGTAAATGAGAAATATTTTTTATCCAGTTTTGGCTTGGATTTCTTTGTTTGTTTTTTTGTCTTCACAGTGTTTTTTCAAAGAGAGAAGTTTTTAATTTTCATCAAGCCCAATTTTGTACTTTTCTTGTTATTTCATGGATCAGGCTTTTGGGGTTATAGCTAGGAAATCTTTGCCAAACCCCAAATCATAAAGATTTTCTCCTTTTGTTCTTAAAGTTTTATAGTTTTAGATTTTACATTCGGGTCTATGACCCATATTTCTGTTGTTTGTTATTTTCTATGGTACAAAATCTGGATAAAAATCCATTGGTTTTCATAATAATATCCAACTTTTGATCTACTATATACTTACTGATTTTCCGTCAAATCAATGTGGCTCATTTCAAAGGAAACATAACAATCTGTTCAATTTAATTACCTACTTAATAGACTATTTTGTTGAAATGGTCTTTATATGTCAGGTATTAGGATGTGGGAGGTAAGCTGGATAATGACTGACACACTAGTGTCATTAAAAGATGGTTTCTAATACAATTTGAAGTTTATGTTTAAAAGTTATTCATTATGTAATAACATTTATATCAATTCCATATTAATTATTTAAACTGTCATTTCAATACATAGAGCTTCCTATATATAGAAATAAAACAAATGTAAATTTTATAATCTATGTCCATAATTCACTGCAGGAAGTACAATATGTGAATCTGTGGGTTTTAAATTGAAGGCAGTGTCCATAGTTAAGACATAAGTTGGGATTGGGCCAGAATGGAGGGAATCTTGGTTAACAGCCATAAATACATCCTACATGGATAGCCATGGATAACACAGTTATTACGATTTTCATCTTTCAAAGTAATGTATGTACACATTTAAACAAAATAGTTCAGAAAAGCCAATCAGCTGATAAAAACACCTCTCCTCAAAGGGTGTTTTGCTCCTTAAAGGTAATTTTTTAAAATTATTTTTATTTCTTATGATGATTATCTTTATAGTTCTAAATAATATGTTTGTACTACTAAATATAGATATATCAGCTTTAGGAATTATCTTTTGACTTCCTGTTTTGATATATGATTTAAGACTAAGTCTCACTTCCTTTCCCTCACCCCTTAATATAAACCTTTGCTTCTTATTTAAACAACCACAGAGTGTATCTCTAAATTCTCCATAGCATAGGAGGTAGAGATTGGTATTAAGGTTCCTCCTTCCACTTCTCTTGCTTTCCACCTTTCTCTTCTCATTTTGGTCTTCCTTAATCTCTGTCATTTGATCCTTAACTTTTGCACTGCTAATATTGAAGTCTGCATACATTTGGTAGCCATAATTATTTCATGTTTTTACCACTGGTTGGTTTTAAGAGCGAATTTTTTTTTAATGTTCTATTTATTTCTAGGAGAGAGAGAGACAGCGTGAGCAGGGGAGGGTCAGAGAGAGAGGGAGTCACAGACTGAAACAGGCTCCAGGCTCCGAGCTGGCAGTCAGCACAGAGCCCGACACGGGGCTCAAACCCACGAACCGTGAGATCATGACCTAAGCAAAAGTCGGACGCTTAACCAACTAAGCCACCCAGGCACCCCTCACTTTTGAAAATTTAATTGATGAACTTATTTATTTGTTATTAATTGATGAGCTTACTTATTAATCATTAATAATGGTTATTGATGATCATTATTTGTTGACCCAACTATAGATACTACATTTTTCCCAAAAGATAATATTTTCTAAGTTTGTCTCTGATGCACAGTCCTTGCTCAGTAATCTTGTATTAAGGGCTGCTAATTATTCAGAACTTCAGAATAAAATCTCTGAAAAATGGCTTGAGGGAGACATCACTTGGAAATGATGTTGAACTGAGGGTGTCATATATTGGGTTAATTCCCGATTAGAGTGATTACGAAAAATACTGGAAGAGACACAGTCAAAGATTTACTACTGAGTCCAGACTGGAGAATATAATAGAATTGTATTACTGTAAATCATATTAAGTATTGGAGCAGAAAGATGGTACATCTGGAAGTAAAAGACAGTAAATATTCCAGATGTAAAAAAGTGGAAAAGGCAGACTGAAATAAGACAGCATTAGACGCTGTATATTTGTTGATAAAATGAGTAACTGGAACACTCTTCATACTTTAAATAATAATTAAAATTTATTTTAGACAACGCACTCCTGGGAGCAATGATGTGTTGGAAAAGTAATTTTGTTTTCTGTGAATGTGTTTCAAATGTTAGACTTGCTAAGCCCAATTCTTTATTTCTCTTTTAGGTTTATACGAAATGCAGATGATGTAGGTGATAGGATGGCTTGTGGATATTTAGACACACCATATGTTTATTATGCATCCTGCACTAACATAAAGAATACTATATGTGAGAAGCTGGCTAACCCAGTGAAGATTGAGAACACACTAATGAGTGAAATACCAGATAGAAAATATAATTAGTGCAAGTAGGTTGCTATGATTCTGCGATCTAGGCAACTGTATGGAGCATACATCTTGGGGACCACACAAATGGAATAGAGATGCTAGGAGGTTAAATCTTTGCCTCTCTCCTAACCATGTACATTTTTCAACCTTCTTTCTCCTCATGTACTATGTAAAAGGAGCCTACAGTAATGCCTTATCGTTTAGATTCAGGCCAGATACTGTTGGGCAGAAATTCAGTGTGTTGGATGAACCTACAGAAAACTGAAGCTCACGTTTCCTGCTTTTCCAGAAATAAACAAGGCAAATACCCACCTTATAGAACGTCAGGGAAAATGAAATCTAGAAATTAATTGTATAGATAGGATAATACATCACGACCAACTGGGATTCATTCTGGTAATACCGTGGTAGGGACTCCTCCCTAAGGAGAGAGAAAAAAAGGGAGAGAAAACTTCAAGGTTACTGGGCTATGTGCCTACATGACAACATCCCTCATGACCTTGGAACCTGAGACTACTTCATCAGACTACGAGTTTGTGTGTTACCATATATGGGAGACAAAGATATAGAAAATGTATAAAAAACTATGCCACATGAGTTTGGTGCTCAGTCCTTCTGGTACAAACCCAAATGAGTGGTGCTGGCACGAATAAAGTTGCTTCGTGGAAGTTAAAAAGCCTCGGTGTCATGACTCTCTGTGCGAGAATCCTCCTAAAATACAGGTGGATTTACATTGTAGAAAAGAAAATAAGAAACAGAAAGAAAAAGAAAAAATATATTATTATTTTAATAGATGTAGAAGAGCATTTGAGAAAATTTAATACCCAATCTCTTAGGAAACTAGAAGCAGAAGATTTCCCTAATCTGGTAAAGAATGGTAACATCAAAAGAAAGAAAAGAAAAACAAACCGAACAAAAAACTAACAACAACCAACTGTAAACCTAACATCATGCTTGTGGCAAAAAAAAAAAAAAAAAAAAGTGAATGTTTTGCTTTTGAGCTCTGGAAAAAGACCACAATTGGTTTTTATCAATTATTTTATTCAATAACCTCTACTGTCTATTAGAGGCCCTCGCAGTAAACTAAGGCAAGATAAATATAAATATATAAAAATTGAGAAAGGAAGAAATAAAACATTTTTATTTGTAGCGAATATACTGTGTATATGTGTGTGTAAAACTGATATCACTTATAAGTTACCCAATAACCCCCAGCTCACTAATAGTTTACAAACTATTAGGATACATAAATTATCAGAGTTGTTGGATAACGGCTCAAAATATAATCTCATTGTGTAACATCAATCATATTTCTGTAGGTTAGCAGTAAACAATGGGAAAAATATTTAAAAGCTAAAACCATTTATAACAGCATCCAAAAATAAAATAGTAATGAATGTAATCAAATGTGAAAAACTTTCTGCCCAATCCTGGTTCCTTTCCCTCTCTTGCACTGAGGTTAGTCTGTAATAAATCCCCAGGTCACTATTCTTGATTTCAGAATCTGCTTCCTGAGAAACCAAGTGTGCACGTGTTGCTGACAAAATAAAAGAAAACCTTAATAGTGAAGAGGTAACCATGTACTTGGATTGGAACACTCTATATATTCTTGGGATGGAAAGTCTCCCAAATTTACCTATAGTGTCAATACAATCCCTAAATGTTTCATATATATATATATATATATATATATATGAATATAATATATATATTTTTTAGAATGTGACGTGCTAATTCTAAAACTAACACAAAATGCATAAGATTTAGAATAGCTAAGACAACATTGGAAGGAAGAATGTTTGGAGAAATTACAGCATCAAATACCAATACTTATTTTAATGCCATGGTAGTAAAACAGAATGATTTAACCAGGATAGATATACATCCACAGTACCAGAAGAAGAATCCAAAAGAAAAAAAAAAAAGGCTTATGTGCATACAATTGACTTACTTATATATAAAAATAGTTGTCCCTTCCTTAGAGATAGAAAATGGTTGTCCTTTCACTAAATGGAGCTGAACCAATTGAATATCACTGGGGAAATAAATGAAATTTCCTATATACGCTATATCATACATAAATATTAATTCAAAATGGATCATAGAACTAAATCTGAAAGTTCAAAATACAAAGCTTCTAGTTAAAACATAAGTGAATATCTTTATGGCTTTACAACAGTCAAAAGACTTCTCAAACAGGATGAAATTTTTTTTAAATTTATTTCTAGGAGAGAAAGAGCGTGAGCAGGGGAGGGTCAGAGAGAGAGGGAGTCACAGACTGAAAAAGGCTCCAGGCTCTGAGCTGGCAGTCAGCACAGAGCCCGACGCGGGGCTCGAACCCACGAACCGCGAGATCATGACCAAAGCGAAAGTCGGACGCTTAACCGACTAAGCTACCCAGGCGCCCCTCAAACAGGATGAAATTAACACTAACAATAAAAAGAAAGAAACACTAGACTTCAATAAAAAATAAAAATAATGCTAAAAAAGTGAAGGCGTAATTTACCCTTGCAAAGACATATGCTGGGTTGAATTAATACATGTCCAAATTTATACAGGATTTATAGTCAGGATAGAATATCAAATCAGTAATTTACAAAAAGCACCTCTAATTAAAAAGTGGACTTGGTTGCCGAGTTGGCTCAGTCTGTTAAACATCTGACTTCTGTTCAGATCATGATCTCAACAGCTCATGAGCTCAAGCCCCTACATCAGGCTTTGTGCTGACAGCTCAGAGCCTGGAGCCTGCTTCATATTCTGTGTCTCCCTCCCTCTCTACCCCTTCCTTACTCACATTCTGTCTCTCTTTGTCTCTCTCTCAAAAATAAATAAACATTAAAAATATTTTTAATGGGCAGAAATGGGGCACCTGGGTGGCTCAGTAGGTTAAACATCTGACTCTGGATTTATGCTCAGGTCCTGATCTCATGTTTCATGGGATTGAGCCCCAGTTGGGATCTGCACTGACAGTATGGAACTTGCTTGGGATTCATTCTCTCCCTGTCTCTCTGCCTCTCCCCTGCTCATGCTCTCTCTGTCTATAAAAATAAATAAACATTTTTTTTAAATGGGCAGAAAGACTTCAACAGTCACTTCCTGAAAGTGACTGAAAGAAGACATTCACATGGTCATGAAAACATAGGGGAAAAAAGGTGCTCAACATCATTATTCATCAGAAAAAAAAATTGAAAATAAAAAATACAATGAGGTATGCCTACCAAAATGGCTGACATTGAAGGCTCAACACTAAATATCAACAAAATGTACAATATGCTGGTTGTTCTGTGGTCAAATTAGCATCAAAATTCCCGTCTGGGAAATGCATTTCCAAGAATCCCTTTCCCTGTTTAGGTCATTGTCAGAGCTGGCCAATGAGAGGAACTCAAGGGATAACTGGAAGATAAAACTGAGGCAGAGATCGTTAATCTCAAAAAAATGTTGAAGTCAAACAGAATGGCAGGTGGGTGCTGAAGTGTCCGGTAAGCCCCAGATCATCATCTATCTCCTCCTTCTCCACACCCAATCACTTCATCTGTCTCAATTTTCACTCTGCCAACCCATAGTACCTCAAGGTCTATTAATAGGTATGTGGCTTAAGTCCCACAAAGCAGCTTCTGGAGACACAGTGATTCCTGAGAGACAGTGGCCTTTGTGGAGAAACCATTTTCCATAGAGACAATTACTTCCTCAAAGGTAGCATCTCCTCAATAGGCAGTGGCTTCCACAAAGAAGTAGCTTCCATAGACTTCTAAAATTTCCATTTTATAGTCCCAATCTGGAAACCAGATGGACTTGACCACTTGGACTTTTATCCCTTCCAGTGTGTGGTAGACTGAAAAATAGCAAACCCAGGAGACTAGGACCTAATCCCTAGAACCTGCAAATGTTAGTTTGTAGGAGGGGGGAAAAAAGGATCGATGGAGATGTGATTCAGATAAAGATCTTGGCACGTGGTGATTATCCTGGATTATGTAGGTAGGCCCTAAATCTAATCACATCATTTGAGAGCTTCCATCAGTTGAGATTATATTATTCCCAACTCTCTGCTTCTTCCTTTTGTGAATATTATACATCCCCTCCTTTGCTGTGTTTACTTAGGAGGAGTACATTTTTTCAGTTCATTGTGATTTGGCCAAAGAACTGTGAACAGATGTAGTATATGCCACTTCAATCAGAAATTGTATATGGTCTTGCATATTTTGCTTCACTTTATTGCTTATACCTTTGCCATGTAGAAGTGACAATATCTTTGAATGACACATCGACAAGTATGGACATAATAAATATACACAGGATATTCTATCCCAAAATAACAGAATACCTATTCTCAAGTGCACATGGAACATTCTCCAAAATAGATCACATGTTAGGCCATAAAACACACCTCAATATATTTAAGAAGACTGAAATCACACCATGCATCTTGTTTGACAACAACAGTATGAAACTAGAAATAAATCACAAGAACAAAACTAGAAAAAAACCCACAAACACATGGAAACTAAACTGTTATTAAACAGCCAATGGGTCAATGAAGCAATCAAAGAAGAAAAAAAATATATGGAGACAAGTGAAAATGAAAACACAATGGTCCAAAATTTCTGGAACATGATGAAAGCAGTTCTAAGAAAGAAGTATATACAGGTACATCTCAGGAAACAAGAAAAAAATCAAATATACAATCTAACTTTACTCCTAAAAGAACCATCAGAAGAACAAATAAAGCCCCAGGTGAGTAGAAGGAAGAAAATAATAAAGATCAGAGCAGAAATAAATAATGTAGAAACTAAAAAATAAATCAATGAAACCATGAGCTGGTTCTTTGAAAAGATAAACTGTCACAGGCTTTGAGTCTGGATTTCTCTCTTGTCCAACAAGAGAGCAGACACAGAAATGAAAATGAGAGAGGCTAATGTCTGTGGGGAGGCAAGAGCCCTGAACAAGTGTCCTTTCTCCATGTTTTTTATAATCTTGAAAGCTTACAGATGTGTTGAACTTGCAGAAGAAAACAATTAGATAGTAACCATTAACTTATTTGTGTAAGAAGCAAAGAGTTTGGGGGGCAAGTGGCATATAAAGTTGTGATCAAAGCAATTTACAACTGCACCAAAAAGAATAAAATGATATACCGGCACCAGATGGAAAGTGTTTTTCTGTAGGTGATACAACTAACTGGCTGTTAACGTCTAAAGTTTAAGATTGATGGAGCATGAAGCTTTAAGGATAACAAGTTACTCTTCTCGCTAGCTAACCTTGGGCAGTTTCCCCTATGGTGGCTTTTGGCCCTAAGCCTTGGTAACCCATTAGTTAAGAGAATTCTTAAACTTATTTCCCACAATAAACAAAATTTACAAACCCTTAGTCAGACTCATCAGGATAAAAAGAGAAAGGACCCAAATTAAAAAAATCAGAAACAAGAGAGAAGTAACAACTGACACCACAGAAATACAAAGGATTATAAGAAATACTATGAAAAATTATATGCAAAGTGAACAATCTAGAAAAAAGGGATACATTCTTTAAAAACATAACATCTTCTAAAATTGAATGGGAAAGAAATAGAAAATCTGAACAGACTGGTTACAAATAACAAAATAGAATTGGTAATAAAAAACTACCAAAAAATAAAAGTTCAGGGCCAGATTGGATCCACAAATGAATTCTACCAGACATTTA